TATAAGAAAGCTACAGAGCATATAGTGCAGCCAAATTCAAATATCATGCTGAAGTTGAAATAAATAATTGTGAACGTAAGGAGTATAGAGTGAACTATAGTTGCTCATCTATCTTTATTATTAGTCATGGAAAATGGAAGAAGGATGAGAAATTAGGTAAAATCTTCTCTCGCAGTAGGAAATTGCTTGAAAGATAACGGCGCTTTCAGAAAAGCCTCTATTTTGCTTAAGATACACGACAACTATCTGTAAGTGATAGTTGACTTGTGGATAAGGAAACCGAATCTCAAATATGACAAAGGGAAGTAGCACGACAAAATTAGATACGCATAGCTCAAATACACACTGGGAAACTTATACATGAAATAGTACACGTAATTTTTCACTCACACCAATTATTTCATACTTCTGAAGCTTACGTCTTGGCAAGAAGAGGCAAGAGGCGGCGCTGATGGCTGGGGTAATCAAGCAAAAGGAGTTCAGGACCATTTGCTGTGATTGAAAATGCTCTCCTTGTCAATGCATATCTAATGGCGATTGCTAAACTAATCTGATGGGAGAAAATTGAGATAAGATATCAGTTAAGACTTGAGTAATCGTAGTTGGATACTGCACTCTCCTAAAATTATAGGAAAAATGTTAAGACAATCACCTTCGCAGAGTACACGGCACTAACTGCGATAGCAACTCGTCCAGATGTCAAAGGAGCCAGGAATGCAGCAAATCTCTGAAGGTAAATCAAAGCAAGTGAAATTCCACTTAATAGAAACTAGAAAGTGAATGTAGAATTGATTGAAAGGAAGCAAGCAATAAATTGATTCATAAAAAGCTGTGAATAAATTTGCTTCAACACATTTCTCGACAATCTCCCGTCTTCTTTTCATTAGGTTTATTGATCATTGCCGAATTAATGCTCATGGTTTAAGTAATTATCACCAGACAAAAAAGAAACTGTAGCATGACATAAAAGCACATGACCCTTGATATAGAAAAATAATAAGGTGAACAATTGCTCAAGTATCATTAATAAAGATTATAACAGCAATTGACTGACACAGGAAAATAAAGAAGCATCATACCTGCTCTGGGTCCTTTATTGCACTCAAATATTTTCCATCGGGAGAAACATCAGCAACCGAGTTCAATAAATTCTCTCTAGGAATGTGAAGATTGTCAAACCTGCAAATATAAAACGATGAAGCCATCAGATCACATTCATTTACCAGATAACGTAAAATTTATGTTTCACGTAGCCACAAAAGAGAATCATCTATACCAGATTCGACCATTGTCAACGCCATTTAAACCAATCTTATGACCACAATCAGCAATCCGAATATTGGGATAGATATTCCCATTTTCATCTCTGATCTGGGTGATAAAAGTATGTACGCCTTGATTATTTCCGTCAATATTCAGCTGAGAGAAAACTACTGCATGTGTCGCATGCTACGAGGCATTCAAGGGAGAGCATGATATTAGTTAAGTAAAAAAAATATTAAATGTCAAAAACGACTGGAAATCATTAGTTTGGATTGAATGATTACGTTAGCTGCAACACCAATCCAGTACTTTTGAGCTGATTCAAATGGAGTGTTGATTACAAACTCTCCCGTGTTTGCCTCATAAGTTGCTGTTGTTTCAATGCCTTGAACCTGGAAAAATTGACTCAAAATGCGTTGGTAAGAAAGTAAAAATAGAGGATAATTCTGTTGACAGGCCAATATTCCTGATGCTAATCAATAACACTCTTTACATACATTGCTTCCATGCCCCAGTTCTGTCATGGCAAAGCATCCTTTAATCAAGTAGTTTTCTGTCGCACTCAACCACTCATCGTGATGTCGCTTTGTGCCAAAACACTGAATTGCACCACCCCTGGAATAGTCACAAGGAAGCAGTTTAACTTGCTACTGATTTAAATAACTTAAAGCACAATTTAAAGAGAACTCCAATCCAACTAGTTTCAGATACGCTCTGAAAAGACGGCTCAAGAAACTCAACCATCCACTTTAAAAGATGGATAGAAGTGGTAAAAATTACAAAATTTGTGCCACAAGAAAATAATTTTACTAGTCAGGTCCTACTATTTGCTCCACCATGAAGAATTCTCAATCCAAAGTAATTCCTTTTTTAAAAAAGAAAAAGAAAAGAAGGCATACTATTTTATCAAGCAAAACCCAATATTGGGATTTTTCACAAATTCATAGATGCAAGTTACGAAAACTGTGACTGAGGCGGAAGCGTAAGGTACAACTACAACTTCAAAATGCAAGTACCTCAAGCTGTCAAAATTGTACATTTTCCTAATTTAAATCATCAAAATGACATTTATAAACCACAAAATACCATCACACATACCACAATAAGAAGTGCACACCAATCTTGATAGCAAGAGCGTAATCAAAAATCTCAATAACCTCCAAAAGAGCAAACTTTTTCATCTCAGCTTCAGGCCCTTTACCTGTCAACCACCCCTTGAACACCCCACGATCCAGTAAATACTCAATTCTCTTCATGGTCATCTCTCTTTGCTGCTCCATGGACTGATTATAATCCGGGGCCACAAATACTTTGCCACCCCTTAGCCTTGGATTGAAAAGTTCACTCTGTACCATGAGATTAAAAAGCCAGTCCCTGTCACCCAAATTGTGCCCATCCATCAGTTTCCTCATTGAAGCCACGTCGAACGAAAAGGGTTGTTCGGAAACTTCCGGTGGCACGTAGCTGACGCATGGTGAGGCGCAAATTGTGGCGGTGGTTGCATGGCGGTGGTTTTGGAGGTGCCCGCTTAAAATTTGGGTTCTGAAATTAACTTTTTCCATGGAGTTGATAGTGATGAATTGCAGAAGATATTTGTTTTTCCATTGCTTTACGTTAAATAATGGATCAATACGCGGGCATGGGAGGGTGCAGGGGCTTAGTCAATGCACGCGCACATAATATGTGTAGATGCACGCGAGCTACAAGAAGCCTTTTCTTCCATATTCGGCAGGGGTGGCAGCTGGCTGCCCTCGCTACTATTCGGAATTTTTAGGAAGCGCCGCCGAAATTCTTATTCATCCGGTTAGATTGTGATTTTAATCGGAACTTTTATTAAAGTTTCACCTGTTCAGAACTTTTTAACAATATGTTTTATTATTTTTTATAAAAATCAAAATTTATTAAAAATTTGATTTTAATTTCCATCAAACAAGATATTACAGACATAACGTTAAATATTTAAAAAATAAGATTCGAATGGATTTAGGATGCATACTATTTTTCGCCGGTTCTACAATTCCTAGGCAAGGAATATCTCATCTAGGTTACTATATTTTAATTTTATTTCAATTCACACCAAATATTGAATTTTAACGTAATTTCGAATTGAATCAATAAATTTCATTATTATTATTAAAAGAGATAAATGTCTATATTATTATCATAAACATTAGAGAGGTTTTTATACTTTTACTCAAACTTCAATAGAATGTTTAATATTAAAATAAAATTTATAATTGTCACGAGGAGCAAAATAAATAAAGATACAAAATATATAGATATCCCTTGTATGAGAGAATTTATTTTGGAAAAATGAGTTTTCTTTTGTTTGAAAAAATACTATTAAAATGTAAGAAAACGTTATGAGAAATTATTTTTGTGACCCCGGGACAATAGCCTTGTATGGGGAGCCTGACTAAATATTCAGAGAACTCCTACATATGGTTGAAATGAGTTAGATTTTAACGATGAATATTGGAGTACCAAAGCATCTATGGAATATCTCATTTAGGTTACTATATTTTAATTGGCCGGTCACTAAATTTTAACGTTATCTTAAATTGGGATCAATAAATTTCATTATTATTTGTCGTATGTTATTGTCTATAATCCTATTAAAAAATATAAATGTCTATATCATTGTCATATATTATTGTCTATGTTACTATTGAAAGAGATAAATGTCTATGTTATTGTCATTTACCCAAGCTTCAATAATATGTTTAATATCAAAATAAAATTTATAGTTGTCATGAGAGCAAAAAAATATAAATATAAAATATATAGACATCCATTGTATGGGAGAATTTTTTTGAAAAAAATACTATTAAAATGTAAGAAAAGTTAATGAGGAATTATTTTTGTGGCCCCATGACAAGAGCCTCGTCCCGAACTAAATAAATATGATGTTCGAAAAGAAAACTCCGACATATGCAGTATGTTTCCATATTTTGTTAGCAAATTGAAATTTCCTTTTCTTCTATTTATGGTCGTGAAACTTTTCAAGGAAAGATCACTAACTTTCTTGATAAAAAATAAATAAATGAAAAAGGCCAAATGTACAGCAAGTAATATTACGTAAGTTTTACCTACCCTCACATTGGTGGACCCCATGCGAGACCCATGGTAATAAAAAATTGTCCAAAAATTATCATATTATCTATGTTACTATTAAAAGAGATAAATGTCTATATTATTGTCATAAATCCTAGAGAGATCTTTATACTTTTACTCTAATTTCAATAATATGTTTAATATTAAAATAAAATTTTTAATTGTCACGAGAGCAAAAAAACAAAGATGCACATCCCTTGTATGGGAGAAATTTTTTGGAAAATGATTTTTTTTTTTTTTGTAAAAAACAATTAAAATGTAAGAAAAAATTATGAGGAACTATGTGTTTTTAATCAATATATAATTCCAATTTTTTGTTATCAATTGAAATTCCCTTATCTTCTATTTATGGTTGTGGAAGATTAATAACTTTTCTGATAAAATAAATAAGATTCAGATGAATTTGGGATGTAGACAATTCCTACTATTATTACTTGATTATCAACGTCTTTGAGATTTACTTAATTTGAAATTATTCTTCAAAAATGGTTATTCTTGAGCTATCAACAACCACCCAAAATTTGAGCAGACTGAGTTTCTACCCAATTTTCAGGGCTTCTGACCTCTCCAATTCAAGACGAATTTCGCGGATCAAATATTATACCAATATAGTTTACAGAGAACTAGTTCTCAATGGTAGACCAGGAATTTGCCGCGACCCAATCAAAGGCAATAGGACTCAAGAAAGCATCTGGTATACCGAAAGAACTAACCAAGGCAAGTGCTTGAGGTCTGATTTCGCTGCAGAGTTTTGCGACTTCTTTTCTCACAGCAGCAGCATTGCCTGTTGATAAGTACCCGTATCGGAGAAATGCCGAGTCTTCTTCAAGTGTGACCAGTGCATACATCGATCTCAGAAGACTCAATATATTCTGCAAAAATGTATGAATTTCTGTTAATAAAAACTTTCAGTTTGTCCATGTCACTACTTGAGATTCTCATTTCCGGTGAAATAGGCTGAGAAAAGCATGCGATTTTCGTATAGGCATTTGCTAAAACACAGAGCCTTGATGTAAGTGAAAAGTGGCGAACAGTGGATGCACTAATTTACGGTGCAACGACAATTTTTAATCTTAAAGACTTTCTAAATTCGAACCAAATTTCTAGTACGCAAATTTTTATTTATATATTTCGCGTCTTCTGGGGGTTCGGGTTGGGTGGGCGGCATTGGTTGCAAAGCTTGGCCCCAAATGCTCAAGGGAAAGGGAGGCAAAACCTTTGATCTTAGGACCATTATGTGAAAACTAGACAGCCATTAAATCAACTCCTTACAATTGAAAGGAAAGGTTCCCACATACCTTAATGGATGCATCTGTCACATTGTTCTCGGCTTCTATAGCACACTGCAAAATTGCACGGTCTGAGAATGCTTTTCCCAGATCTTCAGCGACCTGGTAACTCTTCAGGAATACAATAAACGTAATTAACAAAGAGCCTGAGACATAGAGAACCCGGTCCCAGGGGGGAGGGATTTGGATGGACCCCGCATTGCAACTTATAATTCAGAAGTGTTCTTACCACAACAAATGCAGACTCTTTACTTTCTCCCTGTGCTTGGTATTGCGAGACTTCAGCAGCAAAGCGGTTTAATAAATCTCTTTCTCTTAGGCAGAAGATATCATTCTGTCACAGACCATCAGAATTCCCTATGAGATTCACAACAACTCTTCCAAGAAATGAATAAAGGAGAAACTCATCATTACCTGAAATTGAGTACTCCTCAGCGTCGAACTCATAAGCTTTGCAGGAATAACTGGGCATGATCTGTTCATATGTTCTAACCCCAACTCTTTGAATGGTTTATTTCTCCTTTCGGCTGCTACATACTCAGCCAGCAGAGCCTTGCTAACCTGCGTCAAATGTGTTGATGAAATTCTGAAGATACAGATGAAGATTTGAAAGCTATATAAAACCAATAACTTTATGAACGCACACAGGGGAAGCAACATATATTTCAATGTCAATCGGGTCTATTGCATTAATGCCATTTGTATACGACGATCAGTTAACCATACCTGTTGCATAAGAACATTGTTATCACCCTCGAAAGTAGACTGCACATCATATTCACCTTTCAGTTGGCCAATTCGATTTTCTGTCTTCACTCCTTGCCCACCACAGGCTTCACGGCATTCCTGGATCATATATAATGCGATATAAGGAGGAAAGCTTATCAACGACTCAAAAATGCTTAGCTATAATGAACGTGGCTACCTGAAGAGTTCGCAGGTTATGCCAAGTCAGAGTGGCCTTGAATGCACTGGATACAACATGGATGGTTTTGATCAGTTGAGGACTCCTCTTCATGTAAAGCATTTTCAAGTAGTTACCAGCAAAGCTCATAGTGTACCTGCAGCACCAGATAACAATATTGTTAAATTCTCGTTGACAAAAGCATAAATATATCCATACGGCAGTTGACTTTTTGATAAAAATTAGCGAATTTCACATCACAAGTATAAGAAAGCTACAGCATATAGTGCAGCCAAATTTCAATATCATGTTGAAGTTGAAATAAATTATTTAGAATGTAAGGAGTATAGAGTGAGCTGTCGTTACTCATCTACCTTAATTATTAGTCATGGAAAATGAAAGATTAATGAGAAATTAGGTAAAATCTTCTCTCCCAGTAGGAAATTGCTTGAAAGATAATGGCTGTTACAACCCATTTTAATTAGTCAAAGTCAATGGTTGAATTGTCAAGGTCGAGGTCAATATGGACTTATTTGGGATAATTAATTTTCTTGGGATTTATTACATAATTGATAACATATGAGGGTTAAGTTGGTTTAA